CACAATGACGTTTTTACGCACAATTTCTGTTCATAACTTAGCATAGGCTGCATAGCATAGTTTAAACTGTATGTACAAAATTCATAGAAATACATTAGATTTTTCATCAAAATTATGCAAGACATGTGATTGAATTTGATTGTGTTACAAAAGGTGCATTTATGTAATGTACACACACGTAAAAACACACAAGTTGTAACAAGTCTGCAAACAGGCTGTTACAAGTCTGTTCACAAGCTGTCAACAATGACAACAAGTTGTGTTCGCACTGCTTGTTCCCAGATTGTTGTAACAAGTTTGAAACAAGCTGTTAACTTGTAACAAGCTTGATGGCATTATCAGACTTGTTACAAGACTGTGCTAACAAGTTTGTTACAGCCATGATATAACAAGGATGTTACAAGGTTGTCAACACAAGGTTGTAACAATCTTGTTATACCAAGCATATAACAGACTTGTCAGAACAACCTTGCAACAAGTCTGAAAATTTCAACAAGGTTGTCAACAAGTCGTTCCAAACTTGTGATAAGCAGTGCGAATACATCTTGTTGACAGCTTGTTGGCACACTTGTTACAAGATGCGAGATTTTTACGTGTATACACTGCAATTGGCTAATAATCCACAAACAATGAGTGAGTGAATGATGGAAAACAGTGGGATTCTTGAAACAATGAAATAAAAAGTAAGTCTTACTAATACTACTGATTTTGAATACCTCGCGCTGAGGCGCTTGGAGAATAAATTGCGCGCTTCACTGGTTTTATACCCGCATACCCCCGCACATATAACCCGATTTTCGGGTAAATATTTTGGTTGCCTAGGTAATAATACAATATTAACCGGCGTCTATTTGCAAATAATGTAACAATTTTTTCTTCACTTGTGTTTCAATGCATTGTTTTAGGAAATTGCTTTTACTTTTTTGATGTTTTCACCTCTGGCAAAAGGCAATGGCTCGTGGGATGGACATTTTGAGGATGAGGTTTTCGATTTTTTTTTAAATTAATAAATTATAAACTACTGTGATTGCAAATCAAACTTTATACAAATACAAATATGTCAATGAAATAAAATCGAATTATTATATTATAAGATGCTTTGATTTGGAGCATGTTATGTGTTTTTAAAAGTTGTGGGCTGGAGATTAATTATATATAGTGATCGCATTTTGAAATAATACTTCTAAGTGTGTGATCGCGTTTGACCCTTTGTGCTCCTACTGTGATGAAAGCTTTGTAACCTTTGTTTATGACATGGAAGAGAGGGGAGCTAATTATTAACTCATTAACGTCCAACAGGTTTTTAAGCCATTAACCATGCACCAACACATTCCACTTGGGGAGTAAATCGTCTGCAGTTAGATAGAGTTAAATAAACAAATTGTTAACCCATTGAGCTGCAATGTGCCCGCCAGTGCGCCCTACTTTTTTTTTACTTGTCTAACACCAGACAATATTACTCGTCAATGGGGAAGCTCTGCGGCTTAATGGGTTAACCAAAAAATCTGACAATGTCTCTACTTAACCCATTGAGCCGTAATGTGCCCCAGTGCGCCCTACTTATTTTTTTTACTTGAATAATGCCAGTCGATATTACTCGTCAATGGAAAAGCTCTGCGGCCTAATAGGTAAAGTGCATTAGACGTGCCGGCACACTGGTTTAATTGCATGGGTAATGAAAGACATGGGCAGATAGTCTGGTTAAGCCATTAATGCCCAACACTTCCTCTTGACAAGTAAAATTGTCTGGTGTTAGACAGAGTAACAAAATACTGTAAGAGGCATACAGCACATGGTCGCTTAATGGGTTAACATTACATTTTAACATCAACCTTTCAATTTAGTCGACATTTGACAACCTATTTCCATCCATTCACCAAACGTCAATCCACAAGGATGCCACGCTACCTCAGATAGACACAAGTGATTTAACTAAAGCACAAGATCCCGCCATTCAACTGCCAAAGACATTTCTTACACGGAAAGGTGCAATTTTGTTGTTTGCACAAAATGGAAAACAAAACGTATACGAACGAAGAAAGCAAATTAGGAATGATGAAAAAATCAATTTAGTTAACGTTGAAGAGCAAATGCCACAAGGTGAAAAAAGAAAATTATTTTTGGAGTTTCTTGACGTGTTTCTCAAAGATCAAACAACAAATAAACAAACTATTTCTCAGCCAATCAATCTCAAAGAAAATAATTGGATAAGGTATGTGAAGACTTATTTTTAGTTGGAAAATGAATGTCCTGGTTTGTCCACCTTCGGGAAACATGGCTGGGAAAATAATGTTTCCTTGTTTGCCCACCTTCAGGAAACATGACTAGGAAACAATGTTTCCTGGTTTGTCCACCTTTGGAAAACATGACTAGGAAACAACGTTTCCTGGTTTGTCCACCTTTGGAAAACATGGCTAGGAAACATTGTTTCCTGGTTTGTCCACCTTTAGAAAACGTATGTGGCTGGGAAACAATGTTTCCTGGTTTGTTCACCTGTTTGGGAAACATGGCTTCCTTGCAATCTGTTTATTTTAGTGACCAACAGTATGACGAAGAGCAAACAGAAAACGTCTTCAAAGTTCTATCTCGTCCAAAATCAATCAACTCATTCTACAACCACGAAATTCACGTCAAGAGACAGAAAGCAAGACCAAAGACTGCAGTTCCAGGAAATGTCCTACCTAGCGAACCAGAACAGCCCAAGGCACATCCAAGAATAACCAGCGGCAAACCTTGTCCTCCAACACGAGGTATGATAAACGAACAATGATGGTCTGGAAGCCAGGCAAACTTCAAAGCTATAAAATAGAAGAGCTTTGTTTGATGTTGAAATGTACCTCACCATGCACAATTCCTTTGTCTCAACTTCATTAAATATTATTCATCGTGGTTGCACATTTCATCTCAGCTATCCCTATTGGACGATTACTTCATTTACGAAAATACAATGAGCTAAATCACTGTGACCCTGCACAATTTAACATAAACTTAGACAAAAACATAATATAATGACTTGTGTTTAGTTTCCAGACCATATCTTGATAGATCATGCTACCAGTTATCTCCAACTAACCAACTTACTAATATTAAGTAAACGTATTTTTCCTCTATAGCACTAGGGAAGCTTCCTTCCAAAAACACACGTTCTGAATTTGACAAAGAAAAGACGCCCAGTTACCTTCAGCCACCTTCAATAGAAAATCACCAGACTTTTGTCACAAGACAACTCACAACTCCAAACTATAGTACAACCAATGAAATGGTTAGTAATATTGCAAGTATGTTACTGTATAGAATATTTACTCGGACTACGGGTCAGCTCGTGTATATTCAGGTAGCCTAGCGACTATCGATGTTATAAAGACTACCTCATACAATGGAAATTAACATTATTTTCCCACGTTAGTAACTGCAGATTGACCTATCTGCTGTAAAAAGCTATAGGTCGAAACCTATCGCTACCATTGGCCAAGCACGCATGTGATTGGTTAATCGGGCAGATCAAACGCATCTGATTGGCCCCTAAAAAAGAGACGAAAAAAAGGCCCCCCATTAAAAGGACCCTTTATGGCAGCGGTAGTGGAAGTCAAATCTGAACCTCTCTATCCTTAGGTTCAAGACGATCGAATTAGTATCCCAAGACCAAACTCCGAATGTCATTTCGAGCGATCCGAAAGAGTTAGCCGAGCAGCATCAAGCATGTCAAGATACTCAACATGGTGGGCTATGGATGACGTGTCACTAAGTTACTATGACAACGAGCACCAAGATGACGATGATCACGACCCAGAGTGCATTGAATGTATGTCTGAACAACGAAGTGAGATTGGTTGTATGTCCACGTCAGACCACATGTCAGACATTGAGGCTAACACAGGCAAGTACTCAGGCAAGTACCAACTTAACCGTTGGAGGAAGAAGATTTTCGACTCAGACTCGGTAATTCGGTTTCCTGACTCATTTTTCTTCAGTTTACTTAGTGGAAGAATTGAGTCAATTAAAGATGAAACAGGTGCAATTTTTATTGACCAAGATCCTGATGCCTTTTTGCCGATCTTGAATTTCTTGAGAACCAAAGAATTAGATTTAAGGCGTTTAGATTAGAAAGTTGTCAAGCATGAAGCTGATCTTTATGGAATTACTCGTCTTACTCCACTTGTGAAACGTCTTACTCTGTGTGAGGACATCAGTGGGTCAAAGTGTGGCAATTTTTATTTTTTAGGGCAACCCCTAAATATCAAAGATTGGTTTTCTTTGATATTGCATTGTAAGTAATCGCGATCGCAGTAGGGTTAGGGATTAGAACATGGAAAATGAGCAAGTCCTTTTCTGGTACACCCAGATATACGTTTTCATTTTTTTCTCAAAATGTTCATCTGTAATATTTTAAAGGTTCTACAAAACGAGCATCATCTACTCCGGACATTCAACAAAGCAAATATATTGATTTGACGTTAGAACTTCATGTGGACGATGCTTTCAGTGTTGAAGAAAATGAAGAAGAATGTTTCTCTCCAAATTGGGCTTCAAAACGTGATTCACAACCACAAGCAAATTTGAACAAGGAGTTGAATGCGTTTTCTACCAGTTATAAAACTGGGGATGTAGTTTCTGAAACGTTTAGAGATGTTTGGTGTGAAGAGAGTTACGCGGAGCAGCCGAGTAAGAGCCGTATTAAAAGTGCGCCATGTTTAGCAAAAAGGAATGAACCGAGCTTTCGGAGAAAAGTTCTCAGCGCAGGTACGGAATGTCATGAATCTTGTTTGGGGATTGACCTTGTTAATTATGTTGTGTTGTCCTGTATTATCCTGTACGTTTTCTATGTTTTGTCTGTGGTTATTCTATGCGTAAGACTTATCAATTATTTCTATGTCTCCACCTAAAAATCTATCTCGCTCTTAAAAATCTTTCGCCATCACTTTTTACAAACCTAAGAAGCCCTTCAACCTCCGTTTCCAATTTTCTTAAAATTTATTTCCATTTAGGTCCAAACAGACCCCACACGTCAAGAATGCTCTACAGTGAACACGAAACAATCGCACCGACACCCTTAGAAAATTCTTCCATTCGAATCCCAAGCGCAGAAAGTTGTTATGACAATGACGAAGACACTATTTCTGTATCGGAAGACGTCTCAGAAAAACCATATTTTGCCCAGTATAGGACTGACCCTGGGGTGCTGGAAGAAAATAGTGATACTGAATCAACCAATCAGAGATTTTCTGCTATGATTCCAACCTCATCTCCAGGGTTTTCTCTTTTTTCGCGCGGTGATGAAGGCTCTGGATACGAAGTTGAAACCAAAGATGACTCGGACAATTCTACGAAAGTTGCTTTAGAAAATACAAAACTTCCTAAACAGGATATTACAAAACCTGCTGAACAGGATTCGAAAACTACCACACAGGATACAAGAACTGCTAAAACGAATATAAAATCTGCAAAACAGGATATGAAACCTGCTAAACAAGATATGAAACTTGCTAAACAAGATGTGAAACCTGCTAAACAAGATATGAAACCTGCTAAACAAGATATGAAATCTGCTAAACAAGATATGAAATTTGCTAAACAGGATGCAAAACCTACTAAACAAGATATGAAACCTGCTAAACACGATATGATACCTGCTAAACAGGATGTAAAACCGGCCAGAGAAGATAATAGCTTGGATTCAGAGGTTACAGAACTCCAAATATCTGAGGTTTCCCCAACTAAAGTCCAAACATATCAAACTCTTAACAATGAAGTTAACCAAGAGCAAGTCTTGAGCGATGAATCTAATATTATTGAGTCTCAGGACACAGACTTGAGTAATGGGAGTCAAAGGGAGATCAATAATGGCGTCCCGTCTATAGTTTTGTCATCTGAAGGGAATCCTAGTAGTAAAGATGATAGAGAAGTTGATGCAACGGCTAAAGAAATTGAAGAGTCACTCAGCTCTGGTAGTGACGACGATGATAGTGTAGCTGGTCTTCCCATTGAGGATGACGATATCGAAACTAAAGCCCGTGGTACTGAAGAATTATCTGAAGCAAATCATCAAAAAGACGTAACAGACATAACAGAGCCTCAGCAAGATATAACAGAGCCTCAGAAAGATATAACAGAGTCTCAGCAAGTTGATGGTGTCAGAGAAGGTGAAGAAATACCCGTGAAAAACTCAGATACAGTTGACCTGACTGAGACATCTAAGTCACTGCGTTCCGATGTTGTTGAAGTTCAAAAATTATCTGAAACAACTCTCAACACAGATGATTCGGAAATTCATGTCCGTGAAATTCAATTATTATCGCAGAGGAATGTGAAGACAGATGAACGAAGTGAAAAAGCAGAAACTCAGCATTCTGGTAAAGTACGATCATTTAGTGGTGATACGAATTTTCAAACGAATAAAATACCTGAAAACGCTCAGATTTCTAGTATTGTACAGTCATCTAAGTTGATTTCAGAATCACGTGATAAATCTCGGCCAATCAAATGGCAAGAATTGGAAGACAATGGTTTAGCAGATACACAAAAGATGAAAAATCAAAGTAATATCGATATTCGGAAAGATTCAGTTTCAAGTGAAAAAAATTCCGATAGCAAGATAAACGATAATCTACGAGAGAAATCTAAGCTTGATGAAAAATCTACGAGGAAAGAAAAGGGGAAAGGAGCAAAGGCAGAAAAGCCGAAGGGAGACAAGCTAGATATCCAAGGTGTTGGGAAAGCGGACAACACGACGATTGAAGCGAAAGATAAAATGGAAATAAATGCTCAAAATAAAGTGGACCTGTCGGATTTGTTTGCGAAGAAATCCAGCAACAAAACTGTTAAGGTGAGATACTGATGGGTTGAACTTTTGATATTGATGGGTTGAACTTTTGAAGTTTCAATGAGATTTTCTGTTTGATCAACCAATAGTAGCTTATGCTGATAGCCAACCTGTGATGAACTACTGTTCCATTCAGGAACATTTCATCGTTTCATCTGTTTACCATGACTATAGAAACTGGCCACTAATAATAATAATAATAATAATAATAATAATAAACTTTATTTGATGAGGGTAAATATACATTTTTACCTATGAAGGTATTCTACCAAATGGCCCTCTAAAAATTAGATAACCTACAGTATTTACAATATATACAAAGAAGCAAGACTATAGTTGCATTTGACACAGCACATGGGACTATACAACTTATAGTACCAAATACGAAAATAACTGTATTACTAAGCATGCATAATGTTGTTGTTTTTTTTAGTTTTGACAATATAAGTTATTAAAAATTAAAAGAAAATTCAGTGCGAGTAACAAATGCACGTAACTAGGTTTTTGCAAGAAAGACACGAAAATTGTTCAAGATGGTCAACCTTATGATTAAGATTAGAGAAAAACCTCTTAACTTTACGCTTATACGCAGACGGGGAGTAATCGTTAAACACTTTCAGGTCATTTGGTAAAGAATTGAAAAGTAAAACACCACTGTATGAGAGTTTGGTCTTGGAAAGATTAGATTTGACAGATGGTATTTTGAGATCAGTAACAGAGGAGCGAGTATATACATCGTGCGATGCCCCAGAGAAACAAAACAACTCGCGCAGATCACTAGGAGATGAGCTGCGCAAGGTGCTTACAACGAGTAAAACTGTTTTGGAGAAGGTTTCAACTTTAACATCAATCTTTTTTATAGAAAACAGCATTAGCAAAGAAAGCGAAATCGCCCAAAACTGCTCGAAAATCTATCCCAGCGTCTGACCAGACTCCAGAGCCAGAATCCAGTCTTGATATGATTCCTACAGTCGATGAAAACCTTCTCAAGATGATTGAAAATCCGGACGGCAGTCTGGAACTTAGCGAAGAAACCTTGAATCAGTTTGCACCGGTGGGAGATTTTCAGGATCCTGACGTGCTTTTTGTGTTGGAAGATAAGTCCATCAAAACTTCAGGTAAGCCCTGGGAACGATGTTAGAACTGTGACGTCATACTATGACGTCATACTATGAAGTCATAATATGACGTCATAATGACGTAATAGAGATGAGATATTGAGGTGGCTGTTATATCTGTTTTGTCGTTAAAAGTTATTTTGAATTATAACATTTCAATTCAAACGATATTAAATCACTGGAGAGCCCGTAAGAACTTCATTTAACCACGCTAACTTTGTCAGTTAAAGCTACTTTCCACAATTGGCGTGTAAAAACGAAAGAAACAAGTAAAAATACTAGGAACACGTCAGAATTATTTGCAAGTATGAATTTTCAGGATTTTAAAAGCGATGAGCAGTGATTTTTTTCCGGCTGTAGCACTGTCATAAATCTCTTTCCCAAACTGTGGCTGTTACTACGACTAACTCGATATGTTTCCACAAACAAGAGTTTCCTAACAATTTTTTTAAATTCTAGATGGCTTTTCTCCATCCAAACTTAAGAGAGGCGGCAAGAAAGCGGGAAGATCGGGCAAGAAGAAAGGGAGAGTGATTGACAGCAATGCGCGCGAAACACAAAAAGCTGCTGGGGAAGAAAGAAAAATAAAAATGGCGGAAGAGAAAGCCAAACAGGATGAAGAAATGAAGTTGTTACAAGAAAGAGAAGATGAACAAAGGAGGTTATTGGAAGAAGCACAAGATAAACAAAAGTAGGAGTTTGCCATTTTACATGTTTACAGTATATTGCATGTTGTTCAAGATTTTTTAAAATAACCCGATGATGCAGAAATAAATTACGGGAACCAATGAGTATTTTGATAAAATACAAAACAATAAATACTCCGATATACCCGTATTAAAGAGCATTCTTCTCCTGACTCTTCTGAAATATATAACCCTATTACTAACTGTAATGAATTCAATTTTGTAAAAAACCTACTCGAACTAACACCTAATGACGAAGTTAATAACATTAAATCAGTAACAGATTTAATATTTACTAACACCAAGATAATAGATAAATCCAATCACTGGTCGTTGATACTTTATCAAGAGTCTATTGCTATTAATAGAATGAAACCGTCCCTAAACCCTGGAACTAAAGCCTCTAAAGATCTATTAATATTTAACTAATCGTATCTTGTTACTTCACTATATATATATACTTGTACATATGTAATATCATCATCATTCATTTCCTGATGATGACTATAGTTTAGTCGAAACGTCGAAATAAATTTTTCAAAATGCTTTCAATTTTCGGAGTATCTATTGTTTTGTATTTTATGCAGAAATAAAATTATACTGTATTAGAAACTTGTCCTCTGACACATTGGGCTTGACAATTCGGTAATCCCATATTTAATGATGTTTATTTTAAAGTGATGATTTTTTGATGATCTAGAACAATAGAAGAGGAGCGAGACAAGCGTTTGGCCCAGGAGACTGAGGCGAGGAGACAGGAAGAGGAAGCTGAGCTAACTTTGAAAGAAGCCAAAAGAAAAGCTAAAGAAGAGCGGGAGAAAAGGTACTTGTCCCGAGTATGAATTGCCTCTTATGATTGGTCGCACAGCAGGTATTGTGTCTATCTTTATCACCCTTTCATCTCTTCCAAAATGCTTGTCTTATCAATTTCGCTACACGTGAATAGAGTGCTTCTCTGACCTAACAAGAGATGACCCTAACTGTTCCTGTAAGGGAGAATGGTTTAGAACTGATATAACTATCCAGTGTAAATGAAGTTAGATAATTAAGATAATTAAGCTTAAGTTTTTACAGATATACCCAGTGGAAATCAAGGGCTAGCTCTGATTGTATCTCCAGAGAGAACAGTTTAGAACTGGAGCTATCAAGTATAAAGTTAATTTAGTTTTTCACACTGATGTGGCTGCTAGAATATTGCAACGACTTGTTAAATTTTTGCTGTCGGTATTTCAGACGCGAAGAGGAAGCAGAAAGAAGGAGGATGGAAGTCCAAAGGAAACGAGAGGAGAAAAGAAAACGCGAATTAGAAATTCAGAAACGAGAACAGGAACTTGAGAAACAACGCGTGGATCGTGAAGAGAGGATGGCAGAACTTCAAGCACAGAAAGAAAGAGAACTGGAGCTGGAAAGAATTGCAGAGGAACAGAGACAAGACGAGGAAAGGTTAGTAGAAAAAAATCAAGGATATTTGTCTTTAGACTGTAGTGTCTTAGACACACCCCTCTCATGATTGACATATTAGGGAGCTTAAGATACACCAAATCTACGACGCGGATGTGACAAGAAACTGTCGCTATTATCACAGTTTCACTTCACGAGTACAAACTATGGATTTGTGTTGGTGAGCAAAGCCAGGGACACGAGAAAAACAAAGTAAAACTAGTCTCCAATTATTACCGACTGTTTTTTAGTCGCGGCCGCGTCGCAGATTTGGTGAATCTTAAGTTCCCCATTATAGAACATTAGGAGACAATGAGGTTGTTAATGCATGCAATGTAGGTAGTGGGAAAGCAAGAAATATAATAGACGTTCAAATTCAACACAGACAGGGCAAACTATCAAACATTATTATGTAGAAACTACCACGTATAAGCTATTCTGTAATTTGTTTGACTCTCTACTAGCAGGATTTTACCTTATATCTTGCTAGTAGAAAAAACAAAATGGCGGCTCAAAAATTACCGAACGAGAACATTTTTCTCAAGGAGAAAACAGCAAGTTATTCGCTTTTAATAATCTTAAGAGGAATAAAAACAGAATACAAGTACTCCTAGCATTATTGTTTACAGGTTAGCAAATAAATTTTGTTTGCTAACCGTACTTTCCGAAGGTGGGTAAACCAGGAGTCTAACTCCTGGCCATAGTGTGTAGTGTTGTTGCAGGATGAAACCTAAATTCTACGGCGCGATAGCTTAAAAACTTCACTGAAGAACTAAAGTTGTTTTTTTAATCAACAGACGTCGATTACTTGAACTGGAAGAAGAGAAACATCACGAGGAAGCGAGAATCCGCGAGGCAGAAGAAGCTGTTCAGCGGATGGCACGTGAACGTGAGTACCGGGAACAGATGCGGAGAATAGCCGAAGCACAACAGGCCAAACTGGAAAAACAGGAAATGGAACGGCGCGCGAAGGAGGAAGCAGAACGCGCGGCAATCGAGGAAGAACGCAAACGTCTCGAACACGAAGCGCAAATGCGTGAAAAAGAGGAACAAAAACGCGTTCACGAATTGCGTCAACAGGAAGCGATTGCGCGTATTCGTGCCGCGCACGAGGCCTCCAAGAGAAGGGCCTGGGCACTAAGGCGGCGAGCTCAAAACACGGAACGGATGGCGAATCTGAGATTCACCAGACAAACACAGAAATTGACTGACGCTTTTACATTCTCCTACCACGTGCAGGTACCGCGCGAGGTCTGGGAACTACCCTACGACTGGAACTCGAAAAAGAAGCGAGGGTCGTTCAGACCCAAGAGGAAAAAACAAAGTGGCGAAAAGAAGACATAGTGTTAGTATGGATCGTCCATATCTAAGGGGAATGGGATGAGAAATCGACGGTTTCTATGGTCATGAATTTTCATCTCCCTACTGGCTAAACAGGAAACCTGTTCATTTTGACAATCCCCTAACTTCCGCCCCCAAAGTTAAAAGGTCTAAGAAATAACGGGACATCATGACCATCGAAAGCCTGCGTATTTTTCGGAGATTTACAGCAAATTTTGTCATTAAAATTAACGATAAGTTATTGCAAATAAGTGTTCTTTATTTAATAGTATAATGTTTTTGTCACTAAAGTATCCTTTCAGAATTAAATAAGTTCTATTATACAATTTTCTTTTAATCTTAAATATTTAATATATTCTTGAAGTGTACTACACTTTGTTATTTAAATTATACTATCGCCTGACTCTCGTTATTTTTTCACTTATTCAATAGAAATCGTTCATATTGTAAAATTTAATTCCAATAATATAAATGAAACATAAGTCCCAGTATGGTTCTTTTTCTTCGATATTCTGTTTTCACTTGTTGCCAAACATTTTCATTTCGTTTCCTACTACTTAGCGATATGCCCCTTCAAAATCACATCTTCGCTAATGCCTTCCATTTGTGTCGGATTTTCTCGGAGATACTCGACAAGTTCGTCGAAGGTCGTAAAGTTTCGTGGTTCGGAACCGCATACAGCAACGAAGTTTTCATTTCGGCGGTTGACGGAAATGTGTCGGAATTTGGGTTCAGCATTCGGGGTTCGTACGCTGATGTAGAATTCTCCCATATCCAATCCCGAGCGAACCAGGAATGTCCCTTCGTTATCGTTAGCATCCAGCAAGTCTTCAGCCTTGGAGCGGGAGATTGAACCGTGGAACCAAGGACAGGAATCGAGCTAGGAGAATGGAAGCGCAAAATTCATTTACAGTTGTAATGTAATGCAAAACTTTATTTAAACCCGCTAGCCTCGAACAACTATATACATGCAGCTGATTTCCACGAGGGGTGTCACACAATTACTAAAATATCTAAAATAAGTAGAACTATTTACAAGCATATAAATTGAGAAAGAGGAAAACAAAACACAAGTCGAAAAAAGGAAGGGCTAAATCTGTTTCGCTATTTCAAAGATTATAGATATTGTGAAATCACTTATTTATATACCGTATGAGACTTAAGTGTGCAAGTTAATTATGAAGATTTTTTGGCATCTTATGTAAAAACGGCTTCAAAATATTGAGAGAGAAAAATTGAATTGAGATGGGGTATTTGTTGATGGAATTTCCGAATAAAGATTTATTAATATATACAATTTTAGGAATAATCGAGCAGCAAGAGTCGATACTGCGACCCTGCGATTCCGGTGCAGTGCTCTAACCAACTGAGCTACAGTCCAAATGAGTTCAGTTATGAAGCGCCTAATTCCTTCCAGAGCGCCTAAAGTTGCATTTTTTTCGCACCTGCTCCCGATTAGGTCTGAAATAAAAATCTTTGTTCGAAAATTCCATCTCTAACGCCCGTATTCTAAAAGCTCACTCACACTCAATGAGTGGAGGTTCAATATGAGCTTCTCTTGAGACTTGAGTGTCAATGCTGTTTTTGAATAGCTGGAGGGTGATTAGTCATATAGTAAGGTACGACACTAATCCCCCAGCTATTGACACTCAAGAGAAGCTCATGTTGAACTTCCACTCATTGAGTGCGAGTGAACTTTTAGAATACGGGCGTAAGTTAACCATGGCCATGGCCAGATAATGCTGACAAATAAGCATTGGCTCTAATGGACCTCCCATGCTCTCACCTGTTTCATATATTCCTGATCATGTTTCTTCAACGCCTGTTGAGGATTTTCCACCATAAACGCTCCATTTTCGAGATCACTCGGATTACCATTGTTTTCTTCGTAGATTTCCGAGAAAGTCTTGTTATTCACTCCTCTGGCTTCGGCGTTCTCCAATTCTCGGAGATTAATGTCACGTGATAGTATGGCATCGGTGCTCTGGCTACGAGATAGCATTGCTCGGCCTCCAATACTAAATTCTTTACCTCCACGTTGCCTGTGTTTCAAAGTCATCGAGTTTAAAAATATGTCTTCATTACAATCCATACGTGTAATCAAACTTGTCAATCATTTGCCTCATTAAGTGCAGACGAAATCAACGGTTCATTAATCGATATTTCATTAATCACAATTAATAGTCGCGCTGATTGCCATCTTGCTCGCATACCGACATGTGTAATTAATGTGGTTAATCATTTTGCTCAATAAAAACAGGCGGAATCAACGGTTAATTAATTAATCGTACAGTCTATTAATGGTAGCGCTATTAATAAATGAATTAATTAAAGGTTTGATTTCCATTTTGATTGAGTCTAAAGTTGCCTTGATTGATACAGAACAACTTTGTCGAATTGATTGGTTGAACATGTGATTGATTGTGATCGGTGGTTTGATATGAAAATAATATTTCAGTAACATATAGAGTTCACATACCTAGTGACAAGCAAAGCAATTACGATGGCGAGAATAATGAGAATAATGAGAACAATGCAACCAATAACGACTCCAATGATAACACCTGACGAGAGACCAGAATCGCTTTCTCCTGAGGAAAATCAAAATAGAAGACAGTTAGTATTTGATGCAGAGAGATTCAGCGATGAAATATTAAACAAATAAACAAACAAACAAATCAGTAACATACCTGATTTGGCATTTTTAAGGGAACGTGCTAAAATTAAATGAAACAAAGTGAGTCAGTTTAACCAAAAATTCTCAAATTTAATAATGCATGAGCAAAAACAAAAAGCAGCACTGTGTCGTTGTCTCGATACCTTCAATTTCTCTTTAAATACAAGTCCGTTTGAGAGGTAATATAACCAGGGACGACGGAACTGGGGGGCAGGAGGGGCAGCTGCCCCTCTTGCCTTTTGCTAGGAGGGGCAAGGGGGGCAGAAGTGCCCTTTCAGTTGTAAAATACTACCCGATAAATCACATTTCCAGTGATGCTTTTTGGGCAAAATCATGAGGTGTGATCTTGAATGTGACCTGATTAAGTGCGTTTGCTTTCATTGGCAAGTCAACACATTATTGTAAGTTTATATCTTCACCGGGGTCTATAGAGGTGCCCTTTGGTGTGCGTTTGCCCCCCTTTGCCTTTTTATCGTTCCGGCGTCCCTAAATATAACAAACTCGAAAGCTGTTTATTACCAGCGTATAAAACACGTCAAAGTATTTGAAAACACTCTGCCATTGCCTCTTTTTTAACATACTTTTCGAGTATTTTATACCCCATAATAAATGTTTATTACATATGACATCTCAAATTATCAGCTCAGTGTGTTAATGCAGCCTTCTGTTTTCAAACTTTCAGGCAGAACATTCTTTTACTAGCATATTTCCTAAATTTTAAATAGCTACCTTCCAAAGTGATATCAAACATTTTGTGTTTCCCTAATTCCTCCTCAATATTTCTTTCCCTCAACACATTGATTGTCTCAGACGCCTCTTTGTCTTTCCCGTTTGGTTTGCGAACAATAAACGCCAAAGTTACACTAAAAAATAAACATATTTTGCATTTTAAACAATGCTACAGGACAGACCTCAAACTTTCCAGTTAGGCCCATTTCCAATTAATAGGAAAATTTTCCGCACAAAGAAAATTTTGTTAAATGTGATTGGCCGACACAAATTTTCCGTCGGAAAAAATTTTGAAGTTGAAAATTTTCAACTTTAAACAGTGATATTTTTGGAAAATTTTCTGTCAGTAGAAATTTTCCTTGAGTGGAAATGGGTTTTATGGATGATCTGAGATTTTGGACACAGGTTTTGGCCAATCAGCGGTCAAGATTGTAATTCAAAATACGTACCGTTGTGGGCTAATGGTTGGTGGATCAGTTTTTGGTTTCGCTTCCCGTGTACCACTCTCATCTGTACATGACGTCACCATACCTTGCTTGAACATGGCATCGCACACATATTTCTGTTGCGGGGGCTGGGCACAAACAAGTATTATCTGCAAGTTAAGTTGCTTGTCTTGCACTAATTTGTGTTGCTTCACACGAACTGAACAGTCGCTATAATCAACTATTATAGTATCTCGTCGACTTCGTCCACCTAAAAGTGAAACGATAGATTAAAGCCTCTATATTTTTTTAGAAACATATTTGCTCAATGTGAAGATTTTACTCGTAATAAACTAAAAATAAACGCAATGCACTTTAATTATTTACCTTCTCGTGTTTGTACTACCGCTGCATCATTGATCGCATTCTCAATTTCCTTAGCTACGTCATACAACATCCAATTCTTAAACGGTAATCTCGCATCATCCAGTGTGAACACCATGGCAACAGCCTTGACGTCACCAAGACATTCGTAACGCTGTTTCACTTCTTTCGGATAACAGTCTGCTTTACGACATGGGTTGGGGTTGCAAACTTTTTCTCTAAACTGACAGAGTTTTCCACTTGTTGATGAGTTTCGACATTCACACGAGAAACTTCCTTTTCTGTTCACGCATACACCATTGTTACTACAGGTATCTATGGAAACGAACACGTGAGTGAATAAATTAGAATAAATTAAAAACGACACAAAGTCATGGTTGAAAATAGTAGTCCAGTTATGCGTAAATATTTGGTAGTGCAGTGGTACCAACCTGACTTGCATTCGTCAACATCAATCAGACATTGTTTTCCAGTCCACTCTCGAGGACAATGACAAATAAAATCGGATCCGTCAACTTGACATCGACCATTGTTGAAACAAGGATCGGAAGAGCACGCCGTTAAATTACATAACCGAGAAGGCTTCTCAAATTCAACCACAGCCATTTCACCTTCTATCATACTTTCGACAGTTTCCTTAACCAATCAAAATTGTCATTAAAATGTGCTTCATTGCCTATTACAAAAAGCATTTTCTCGGGCTGACAAGTATCAATGTTCATGCTGAATCCCTCAAAGTTTAAACAATTCATATACTTTTTTAAGCCTACCTTAATGTTGGTTATATTGAAGTACTGACAGGATTCCTTGTGTAGTGGTTTGTTTACAGTCAGTTCCATATCCACCACTGCATCAGGAGCTAGTTAAAAATGAGCGAAACTTTAGATTATCATGCCTGGATTGACGACATAGTTTACAAAATGAAATATGCATCATCAAATCTGTTTAAAATTTACAAGTCTACAGGAGTGTCTTGGTGACACTCTGGTTTTAATTTCTGCTTTAGGATTTGTCTTGTAGTAACACTGGATCAATAAGATATGAGTCATATGACCCTTTCTGGACCTATAGGGAAAACAGTTCAGAACTGATAGGACTATCCAGTATAAATAAAGTTAGTTTAGTTTAGGTTTCCTCCTGTAGTAACACTGGATCAATAAGAGATGATCCTTACTGGACCTCTATGAAGAACAGTTTAGTTTAGTTTAGGTTTCCTCTTATAGTAACACTGGATAAATAAGAGATGACCCTTTCTGGACCTCTAGGGAAAACAGTTCAGAACTGATAGAGCTATCCAGTATAAATAAGGTTAGTTTAGTTTAGGTTTCCTCCTGTAGTAACAATGGATCAATAAGAGATGACCCTTTCTGGACTTCTACGAAGAACAGTTTAGAACTGATAAAGCTATCCAGTATAAATAAAGTTAGTTTAGTTTAGGTTTCCTCCTGTGGTAACACTGGATCAATAAGAGATGACCCTTTCTGGACCTCTAGGGAAAACAGTTCAGAACTGATAGAGCTATCCAGTATAAATAAGGTTAGTTTAGTTTAGGTTTCCTCCTGTAGTAACACTGGATCAATAAGAGATGACCCTTTCTGGACCTCTAGGGAGAACAGTTTAGAACTGATAAAGCTATCCAGTATAAATAAAGTTAGTTTAGTTTAGGTTTCCTCCTGTAGTAACACTGGGTCAATAAAATATGTCTCTTTGGACCTCTAGGGAGAAGAGTTCAAAACTGATAGAGCTATCCAGCATATATAAAATATATGTTATTTTAGTTCCTAACTTACTGTAAACTTCGATGCGAGCGGTTCTAGACCTGTCAGGTTGGGTATCCTGGTAGTTGTGAACCTCGCAATGATACTTCTCTGCATCTTCAGGAATCGCGTTATTGAACACGAGGTCTGGCTGGTCAGCGATCACGCCCGTAGAACTTCGTATACGTTTATCGTTCTTGAACCATGTGTATGTGATAGTTTCGTCTCCAGATCCGCGGCAACTTAGCCTAGCTTCTTTGTCAACTTCCACCCAAATATCTTTGGGATGAACGACGACCTTCGCCGGTTCTATATAGATACATAAAATATAAAACATCTGTACTAAAGTTTAGTTTTGATTAATGTAAAAGTATTAATCCCCCTCCCTAACTAAGGGGCACTTCATATGAGCCCGACCTGATGAATCGTGTCACGAAAATTATTTCCGGACCATAAAAGATCGCTTGAGTAAACTTTATGCTGTTACTGAAATCACTCTATGTTTATCAAAGCTGCATGTGATGTAATATTTCAAATCCGACTACGAGAACTGGACTAGATTTCAAGTCCGCGCAATTTGATCAGCCTGTGGCGAAGCAGAGGATTTGAAATGACATCTCATATGAATAAATCACCACTTAAAGTGAGGTGAATTAATTTTGATCCAGTCCAAGAACTCAATTAATTTTGATCCAGTGCTAGGACTGAATCAATATACTTCATCGGGTATCCAGTATTATTATGTGAGCAAAATAAAGCAATATCGTTTTGGCTAATTTAGGTTGGCTACTTCGAGATGAAAGCTTTTTTAAACAAATAATACTGGTTAACCGTATCAGCCCGACTCCATGTGGCCTCAACTTGAAGCTGTCGTATTCTTCTATTTTTGCAGTTGTCTTTCCATTCTGTTGTTAGTTTCAAGCCTTTGCATGTGGTATAAGAACCAACAGGTTTATTAAATTATAATCCTCCATTATAACCTTCATGTACTAACCTCTTACGGTAAACTTATGTAACTCAGATAGAATATTTCCCGCTTCACTGGATGCGATACATGAATAAAAACCTTCGTCATTCTTCGTTAAACTTTTGATGAAATATTCCCCATTTTTTAACCAATCCGTGATAGGCACGCTGTTTCGAAACCATCTGTATTCTGGGACCGTGTTACCTTGTGCACTGCAGTTGAACTAAGGAAACAGAAACATTATTTTAGTGAAACAAACCTTTTTCTGTCATTGAAAGCGCACGCAACCATCGACTAAAACTTTAAACCGGTTGGATTGAAAAATAAATTACTGAATGAAATAAAATAATAGAGTAAAAAAATTTAAAAATAGCAAATTCACTAAAAACATTTGCAAAAACTTAACCAAACAGTTACTTACAGTTGCAGATTCCTCGACCAAGGCATCTTTAGGCACCACAATTTTATTAAATTCACAGAGAGTTTTCACAGTGACATGACCACGAGTGACACAGAGAAACGCATTGCTTCACATTTTATTCTGAAAAAAGAAGAATGGGATATTAGGAATCTTCACATGTCAGTTTTTAACACTCAAGAGCAAAACACGAAGGGAATGAACACCGTATCGTTGTCTTGGTAACACAGTCATGACTCTCAGCTTTTGGAATTCAACTTCTGGGGCTGGTTGTTCAAAGGTGGGTTAGCGGCTTAGCGCTAACCCTGGGTTAAAATTTAACCCGCTGAAAATAATAATTGTAGTTTATGTATCTCTACACGTCTGTTTATTTCAAAACTTCAGAGGTGAAAACTCCTATCGATCCAGACAAGATTTCTGAAAAAATATTTCTAAATTTATAGACAAGCTGTCAGGAAGTTTGCGTTGAATTTTAAGTTAACCTAGGGTTAAGCTAACCCAGCTTTGAACAACCGGCCCCTGGTGTATGATATATTATATCACACGCATGCGTACTAACCCAGTCACATCCAATGTAGTATTTGATGACATGGACGGAGTCCCTTTGTCCGTGGCTGTCACAACCAACGTACGCTTCTGCTGATTCTGCAAATTAAATAATTAAAGATAAGGAATGCTAACCGTCTTTCCTTGCATCTGAAGCCGGTTTTCCACTAGGTGAATTTGTTCGCGAAAAGCGACCTTTGTTGGCTTAGACCTTTCCTCGCCTACAATTCCCCCACTTATCCTAGATACTCCTGCTTTATACTCTACTTAATCCTCCACTTACCCTAGTTACTCCATGCAATCCAAAGTCAAACTCGGCATTTATTCCTTCGTCGGGATCGGTTGCATTCAACCACAACAAGGAATTAATGTAGATATCTTTCAGTTCATACTCGTACGAATCTTCACGGCTCAGGAACTTCGGAGCATTGTCGTTCAGGTCGGTCAAGAAAATGTTCACTTTTGCAATGGATTTTGACAATTCCGATTCGACACTTTCATCTTTGAAGAAAAAACCAAATTAATCACAATAAAATTTATTGAAAAGTATATTTTTTACCAACTTAATGGGAGATTCTTGCAAATTGACTGTGCATGGTGAAGGGTGCCTCGCTCGTCGTTTGCCAACGGCAGTCTCCTTTCGTGAAATGATGTAAATAACATAACAGTTTGAACAACTACGCTGTGCTAGAATGCTCAAGGGAATACAATTTATAGTCGTGTTTGTCTTAGAGTAAAAACGCTATTGTTGATAAGGACGTCTTCATTGATGTTGACGTTGTATTTGCCAAACTCACGATGAGCTGACAAACGCAAATTTCGACAGCTGAATATGAAATACAACCTATACTGAACCTAGTAAATGTGCCATAAATTCAATTTCCGTACCAATATCAATCCCTGTTCTGTTTACACCACAATAATCATGGCCAGCTCGAACGATCAGATTATATTCCGCTGCTGTTTCGCGATCCACAGAACGTCCTGCCTGTAGTATACCTAAGGAAATCATTAAAAACAAACAATGTTGAATTCCATAACAATCTCGTCAACATTCGTTGTTTCGAAGGATTATTTTCTCCACGTTAAGCGATTGGAATGCGTTTCGTGCAACATACAGTTGTTTTATTTTGGATATCTTCCCCGATAGAACTTAATGTGGTTTTTGCAAATGGAAACTTAGGGCGAAAGACTATATACAATTTTTCAGACCTAAACCAGGAGAAGCTTGTCGGATTATAATTTCACCTCAGTTGCATGGGAGAAAAATCGCACGATCTCCGAGAGAGTTTTCAAAAATAAATTACCGAAGATTTCATTCGTGAAAATAACTCATTTCTGAATAAATTTTCTAGTTGCCAGTAACTGCTAAAACAACTTTTTCAACTATAAAGCTGTGCAATATTATAATGTAATAATGAAAAGCTTATGGAATACTATATAATAATAACAATAATAAAAATAAATAATAAGAATACTCCAAGTTTGACTAAACAGCGCAGGTTTTCGCAGAGTACTCCTGTTTACTTCTGTGTAGTAAACTGGGACCAATATAAGATGTGTTATTTACTGCATCATCTAGGGAGAACATTTTAGAACTGATAGAGCGTTCCAGTATAGATACAAGGAAAAAGACCCTCACCCTTATATCGGTGAATTGTGAATGTGTCGGCCGTGTTTCCACTTCGAATACCATATTCTAACTTTGCCCCCACAGTATCAACATCTGTGGCATTCACATGTACTATAGGCGTCCCGTAAGGCACATTTTCCTGGATAGTCACATTATATTCCTTAGGATTGAACACAGGACAGTTATCATCGATATCAAGAACGTTGATTATCAAATCAGCTGTGGTAGAGAGCGGTGGGTTGCCTGCCAAAAAAATGGTACAAACTCAACGTTTGATTAGAAAATCTAAAGTTATTGAATATTGTATTTGTGAAGAAAACGAAACGAAAACGATTTTAAAAATATTGAAATTTATGACATGTTCGCTTGCTGCTCAGGCTTACTCCAACTCATGTACAACAACGGAATCGAATCTGTGGCAAGCTTCATTATCTATTAATTGTTTGAATTGCATTCGACGTGACCAAAATTCTACGTATAAAACAGGCCTGAGTTACAGAGTCCAGTTGTCAAAAGCTAACCACAAGTTCGTGTATTTATACACGACTACCATGAGATCTATATGTGCTGAATTCAGCCGGTAGGCTGTTGCGGTATTTGAAAAAAAACGAAAACCGATACCGGAAAAAAATACCGATAATACCGATATATCGGTATTTTTTCGCGATTGCACTTTGCTTAATTTTATGCAAAATTTGCTTAATTTAATGCAAAATTTTCTGTTTTCAAATGATGCCAAACAGCCCCGATATAACAGCTTTGACTCATCGGGTGCGCAATATTTTCAATGAAGTGTGAGGCCAGTGATCAGTAGCCTGTGAAATGTCCGCTTTAGAAATTGAAATTATTCAGGAACTGGAGTAAACGAGTCTTAAGAGTGACGTCATCATAATAGGATATCTCCTTACGGAAAGTTTGCTACTTTGATCTTAACATTCGGTGTTCGTATTAGAGAAGTTTAATTGTATTACAGGGAAGTTTTATTCACCTTTATCAGTTGCGATAATTTGGAACGTATGATTCTTCTGTTCTTCGTAATCGAATGTCACTCGAGTGATCACGTCTCCTGTTTTCGCGTCAATCTTGAGGGACTGATTTCCTCTGATGGTCAAACTATACTCGACTTCCCCGTTCCTGCCTTGGTCGGGATCTATCGCCACGATTCGTGTCACGAACTCACCCTTCGGCTGCTCTTCGGTAACGTTCGCCACGATGGTGTCCAGCCTGGGAGAGTTGTCGTTCAGGTCAAGAACGTTCACTTGTAAAAGTGTCGTCGAGTTTCGTGAGGGATTTCCTTGATCTCTTGCTTCAATTGTGATGAGGAATGAGGCGATATCTTCACGGTCTAGTGGCTTGGTTGTTTCAACAATACCTTTTTAAAGAAAGACATATCAATTTTTCATACAAACATACAAGTTCCCTAAATTTTCTCAAGTGATGCTGTTGAGGACAAGCCGTGTCAATATTGATGGTTGGTCAGCAGGGTATTACGTAATTCTCATTTGCCCCGTGTTACACTCGTATACAAATACCTGTATCATTGTCTATCCTGAAATATCCCTCTGCACCACTTAGGATGGCATAGGTCACCCGTCCATTGGCGCCAATATCAGCGTCAGTCGCCTCAACCTCCTTGACAAAAGCCCCGCTCGATAAATTCTCTGTAATATTTTGCTCGTATCTGCTCTTAGTAAAGACAGGATCGTTGTCATTTTCGTCCAGAACCTTGATGGCGACTACCAGTGGTGTTGATTGACGATATGGCTTGCCTTGATCTTGAGCCACGATTTCCAAGCTAGTGAATTTAATGAAAGTATTTTAAAGTTAACTTAACTAACTTTATTTACATTGGATAGCTTTATCAGTCCTAAACTGTTCTCTTAAGAGCGATTCATTGATAGCCCCGTGTTACTGCAGGAGGAAACATAAACTAAACTAATTTTATTTATACTGGATAGCTCTAACAGTTCTAAACTGTTCTCCCTAGAAGTCCAGTAAAAATCATCTCTTATTGATCCAGTGTTACTACAGGAGAAAACCTAAACTAAACTAATTTTATTTATACCGAACAGCTCTATCAGTTCTAAACTGTTCTCCCTAAACGTCCAGTAAAAATCATATTGATGCAGTGTTACTGTAGGAGGAAACATAAACTAAACTAATTTTATTTATACTGGATAGCTCTAACAGTTCTAAACTGTTCTCCCTAGAAGTCCAGTAAAAATCATCTCTTATTGATCCAGTGTTACTACAGGAGAAAACCTAAACTAAACTAATTTTATTTATACCGAACAGCTCTATCAGTTCTAAACTGTTCTCCCTAAACGTCCAGTAAAAATCATATTGATGCAGTGTTACTGTAGGAGGAAACATAAACTAAACTAATTTTATTTATACTGGATAGCTCTAACAGTTCTAAACTGTTCTCCCTAGAAGTCCAGTAAAAATCATCTCTTATTGATCCAGTGTTACTACAGGAGAAAACCTAAACTAAACTAATTTTATTTATACCGAACAGCTCTATCAGTTCTAAACTGTTCTCCCTAAACGTCCAGTAAAAATCATATTGATGCAGTGTTACTGTAGGAGGAAACATAAACTAAACTAATTTTATTTATACTGGATAGCTCTAACAGTTCTAAACTGTTCTCCCTAGAAGTCCAGTAAAAATCATCTCTTATTGATCCAGTGTTACTACAGGAGAAAACCTAAACTAAACTAATTGTATTTATACCGAACAGCTCTATAAGTTCTAAACTGTTCTCCCTAGAAGTCCAGTAAAAATCATAATGATGCAGTGTTACTGCATGCAGGAGGAAACTTAAACTAAACTGCGATGTTTCTTAGATTCAAACTGGAATCATTCCCCTCACATGCGATTGAGGTGAAATCATAATCGGACGAGTACGAAGAAATTTTAAACAGTTATAATTCTCACCTGTAAGCGTCAACTTTTTCACGATCAATATCTCCAGAGACACTAAGATTACCAGAGACTGCATCCAATTTAAACTTGCCCGCTTCATTGCCGCCCGTAATTTTGTACCGCAGCTCCGCGTTTACGCCGATATCCGCATCCGTGGCCGCTACTTTGAGCAAAACTTTTCCAACCGGCGAATTCTCCAGCACAGAAATATCTTCTTGGGACGAATTGAAGATCGGACGGTTGTCGTTTATGTCCGTAATAAGAATCTCTACGACAGCGGTGTCGGAAAGAGCCGGAGAGCCCCCGTCGGTCGCTCGTACGGTAAGGTTATAATAGTCGGTGGTTTCTCGGTCAAGTTCGGAAACCGCACTTATCTTTCCGCTTGCCGGGTCAACCGTAAACATATTGTTAGGAGAGTGTAAGCTGTAGGTAAGCCCGCCAAATGGATCTTTATCTGTGGCATTGACATTCACAATTGTTTTGCCTAATCCCTGGTTTTCGGGGATGCTAATTTTATACGAACTTGGTTTGAATACTGGAAGATTGTCATTAATATCCTCGACTCTTATGGTAACATCCGCCTGGGCCGTATGTTTCGTGTCTTTTGCCTCCACAACAAGTGTATATTCTTTGAGTTTCTCATAATCCAATACAGCGCTGGTATAGATCTCGCCTTTGTCACTGTCAATGTTGAAGTGGTCTTCATCGTTGCCCGAAGCAATTGAGTATCTGATCTTTGCGTTGTTACCAATATCCTTGTCTGTTGCTAAGAGACGAACAACTATCGTACTCAGATTTGCTGACTCGGGTACCGATTCTAAAAACAGTTAAAGAAAATCGTGGTTATTAGACTGAATGGCTTTTCAATTCTGACAAAGGTTGATAGGTCCATCAGTTTTCCCTAGAGATCCAGCAAGAACCTTTCATTATTAGTCTAATGTTACAACGAAGTCTAAACTAATCTATACTAAACGTTATTTATATTGGATAGCTCTACCAGTTCCAAACTATTCTTCCCAGAGGTCCAGTAAATCCCTAATTTGTCCAGTGTTGTTACAGGAAAAACCTATTAATCTAAACTAACTTCATTCATATGGATAGCTTCATCTGTCCGAAACTAGTAACGGATCTATCTTTCTTGGTGCTACAGGAGGAAACCTAAACTTAATTAACTTACGTTGTGCCTGATGACAAAAACCTGTGGTGTTTGGTAGAATCAAACTGGAAGTACCAATACACGTAATAAAACAAAGTATTTCAAAACTCACCGTCATAAACAGTAGGGTTAAAGACTGGAGGATTATCATCGAGATCAGAAACGTCCACGACAAAATCTTTTGTAGAAAACAATTCCGGGCTACCTTTATCGGTTACCTGAACCTTTAATGTGTAACTGGCAATTGCCTCGCGGTCTATCGCGCCACGCGTGGAAATGACGCCACTATCAGGAACAATCTTGAACGCATTGTTAATATTCCCTTGAACAATCTCGTACACAATCTCCCCATTAACCCCGATGTCCGCATCAGTGGCGTTTACATCAAGTACTTGGGTATTGACGGGAGAATTCTCCTCAACTTGAACCGTAGTGATTGTATTGGTTATGTTAGGCCGGTTATCATTAGCATCTTCGATGGTAATAACGACAGAACAGTCTGTTTTGGCTGACGGAGTCGATGGGACGAAGGCTGGTTTGTTAGTAGCACGTATATTTAGGGTAAATGAGGGGTATTGCTCTCTGTCAGGTGGTATTTCAACGCTTATGATCCCCTTGACTGCGTCAATGGTGAAATATCCTAAATCGTTGCCTGATGTTATCGTATAATTAATCTTTCCATTCTCGCCCGAGTCAGGGTCACTGGCTTCTACTCGTAGCACGGTCCTTCCCTTCGCTGTATTTTCACGAAGCGTTGTCGTGTAATCCTTCGTGAAACGTGGCTTGTTGTCGTTCAAGTCATTCACCGTCACTTGAACTTTTGCTGCCGAGGACAACGAAGGCGTCCCAGAGTCCCGCGCGGTCACAGTAATGTCATAATTAGACTTTTCTTCATGGTCCAGTGGTATTTTGGTCGAGATGAGACCAGTTGTGCTGTCGATGGTGAATTTTTTAGTTGAAATACTGTCCAAGGAGAAAGTTATTTCAGCGTTCTTTCCCGCATCTGCGTCCGTTGCTTTCACGGTCAATAAAGCTCCTAAAGAAATAATTAATTTTTTTTAAATATCCAGGCCTAATAGAACTTCTCAAACTCAGTAATAACTTATGAGCAAAGAAAACGCGAACACGAATGGCCTTCGCTATAAACGTCGTTATGCTTTTATTTTTTTAAGAAGTTCTGGCACAAACCACGGCAAACCTTTCCAACTTTTGCAAAAATGTCTGAAAAGCTGTGAAACTAATTAGCATTAACCAATCAAACCGATGCCCCAATGGTCTGTTTTGAAAAACTTTAAAAAATCGCTATCCCTCAGCCCGCGAGTTAGCCTACCTGCCAAACGGTACATTAGCCTAGCTGCAGGTGTATTCTCATCTATATCTTTAGCGTACTCTTTCGGTTCAAACACAGGCCCGTTATCATTCTCGTCCGTCACAATAACACTAAGATTCTGTGAACTGGATTGCCCTGTGGCTCTGGTATTGGACTCTGTCACGGTGACAGTCAGATTATACCGAGGTATTTTTTCCCGATCCAATTTTCTCTTTGTTGTCAGAAGTCCGGTATCCTTATCAACAGCAAAATCATCGTTTGTGTTGCCTTCAGAAATGGAAAAAGAGAGGCTATTTCCATCCTCATCTGTCGCGTTGAACTTTACCACTTTAGTTCCTATGGCAACGGCCTCGCTGACGTATACGATGGGAGATCCAGGGACAAATGTGGGAGCGTTGTCGTTCGTGTTTTTCACTGTAATGTTGACTTGACATGTGCTTGTCCTCGTTGGGTTACCTTGATCGGTGGCTGAAATAAATATATATATATATGAATGTTTATGAGATTTCTTAAGGAATGAGCTTTTCATAATACTATCAAAGTTTCTGTGATCACAGTAGGAACTTTCCATAGAGTAGGTAAGTTTTAAGGATTTATCAGAAATGTGTGAGGAAATTGACTCAGTGTAAAATACTTTCAATTGTCAGTTCGCTCAAACCCTATGCAAAATTCCTACTGTGACCCCAGAGACTTCGACAGTCTCTTTAGCGTGACAATGTGACATCATAGTTAATATATATGACATGGTTTGGAAACCCTTTGTTTTAGGTGATTGTGTACCTTGTGCAGGGTCACGGTTGAAAAATCCTTTGTCTTTCTATTGTTTTGACAATAGTCAGTTCAGACAGCTTGGCGTAAGGAATGGGTACCAACTGTTTGTTTCGCCTACCAGAGCTATATCGTACGGCATATATCTTGCCAATCACGAAGTATTACTACCATTTTTCGATGGAGAATGTTTGTGTTACGTTTGGTCAATTCTCATCGATTAAAACCAATATGTGCAGGTCAAACAGACTGTTCAACCTCCATGTTTGTTTATAGCGTAATTTCTTTAAAGTTTGCCGGGTTTCCTAACCAGGTCTTATAACAACCATGGTGACATCAAGCAATGTAAATTTCAGTTCATACATATGTTAACTTTATGGGCCACACAAATCGAAGACAATTTCTAACCCTAGACTTTCCAATCATTCAGTACCATGTAATATTTCAAATCCAACTATGAGAACTGGACTAAATCGGATCAGTTTCCTTCATCTGGATATACTGGATCAGTATATACTTCACCAGATATCCAGTATTATCATGTGAGCAAAATCAAGCAATATGGTTGGCTAATTTACTCAGAAATTATTAACGAGTTTGAGATGTAACTATAGCATACCCGTGACAGTAAGTTGGTACGATTTATCGGTTTCATAATCGAGTTTCGTTGCAGTCGTTATCAAACCAGAATCTTCATTAATTGTAAAATTATTTTTCCGATCTCCGCCAGTTATACTGTACTTGATTTCACTGTTTACCCCTTCGTCTTTGTCAGTTGCTTTTACCTGTAAAAATATAGGACGTTTGGGAATTACAACAGCAGTGGGGTTTTAGTGTCGCAGTGCACTTCACCTCTGAGTTCGCGGGTTCGATTCTCGCTACGGACTCGTGTGAAAAGAGTCAGTCAACGCTCTGCCAAAAGTCGTGGATTTTCTCCGGGTGCTCTGGTTTCCTCCCACAGGGAAAGTTGACAGGATCGGTTAGGATAAACATAGTTAGGAAAGTAATATCACAATTGTTGTACTGCAAGATAAACAGTCTAACCTGTACAACACGAGATCCCACGGCAGCATCTTCTGCGATTTCACCAAAATATGGTGACTTTGTGAATATGGGAGGATTGTCATTGACGTCCAGGATCTTGATTGGAACGACCTTACTGGAGGATAACACAGAGGTTCCCTGATCTGATGCACGAATGACCAGTTTATAATTCGCCACAGTTTCGCGATCTAACCCAGATTTCACTGAAATAACTCCGGTGTTTTTATCGATGGAAAAGCTAGACAAAGAATGATAAGACCATTTAGATGCGGAAATATTCATAAAATGAAGGCTACATTTTCAGCAGGTCCTAAGATTCGTTCATGCTATTTCACCCTTCATGTAATGTATCAGTTTTTTACTGTTATTACTCACTCTCCAGTTATTCAAAAACAGCATTGACACTCAAGGGAAGCTCAGATTGAACCTCCACTCTTTCAGTGTGAGTGTGAGTGAGCTTTTAGCATACAGGCGTATGGGTATTTGTTAGTATAAAACTACTGCATATAGAAAATACTTACGCGGATTTTGTGTTTCCTCCAGTGATGTCGTAAACAACCTTTCCGTTCAAGCCTTCGTCAGCATCGCTTGCACTCACTTGACCAACTCTGGTATTCACAGTAGCATTTTCTTTCACTTGGAAACTATAGTCTTGATCATATTTTGGTTCATGGTCGTTTTTATCAACAACTGTAACAGTTACTGTTACAATTGAGTTCATCGTAGGGTCGCCAAGATCTTTCGCGCGGATTCTCAACGTATATGAAGGCGTCGTCTCTCTGTCCAGCGATACTGTTGTCATTATTTCGCCACCGTTCTACACGAATGTGCAAATAAGATGTTTGATTATTCAGATTACTAGTACGATTTCCTTCTGCTGATGCATGTGAACGAGTAGTCAGAGTAGATGAGTTATGAATGTTCTGAGTGGAAAACCTATACTGATATAAGAGGTTATTTTACTGTCCTCAGAGTGACAAAACGTAACAAAACAATGGTTTTACTAACACTAACACTAACCCTATTCCAAACACCAACTCTAACCCTAACCGTAATCCTAACCTAACCCTACTCCAAGTTTGTTTCTAAACCAATCTTGAAGAAAAAAGTTTTGACGAAGTGTCATTCTGAGGTCAGCAAAATAACCTCTTCCCACTGACGCACCCTCATCTGAGGATTCCTAACTCATGCACTGACGTTTACATGAATCAGAAGAAGAAAATCGCACCTAAAACGGTGGTAAAAGTTGTATATATAAACGGCCTATATAATAAACGAATATAAACGGCCTATATAAACTACTATGATCCATGGCTGTTTACGAATGAAAAACGTTATTTCTGGGTATCTAATCTATATGTAGAAAGTCATTCAACAAACAAATTGGTTTACTAACCTGTGAAACACTGAACTCGTTACTTGAAGAAACCAACTCATAAACAACCTCTCCATTCTTCCCAATATCTGCATCAGTAGCGCGAACAAAACAGACACGAGAGTTACTCGCGGAGTTCTCATCAATACTGCAACTATAAGCCTTCTCCGTAAACTTTGGAGCATTATCATTTTTGTCGTCAACAACAACTTTGACAGGAACTGTGGTGGATAAAGAAGGATTTCCTTGATCCTTAGCCTCGATCACAAGCGAATACGAAGCTATGTCTTCCCTGTCCAGTCTCTTCTTTGCAATAAGGTCTCCGTTTGTTTTAAACTCGAACGCCGTGTTTACATTTCCGCTTACAATGGAATAAACGATTTTTGCATTATTCCCCGCGTCTTCGTCAGTAGCCTGTCCGAGTTTGCCTACCACAGCATTCACTGCGTTGTTTTCAGCAATGTTGAACGAATACGAGTCTCGTCCAAAGGTTGGTTTGTTATCATTGATGTCCGTGACGGTGATGGTGAATGTAGTTGTAGAAGATTTCGCGGGTTGGCCATCGTCCTGCGCTCTGATGGTCAGGGTGTATTTCTGAAGAGTTTCGCGATCCAAACTTGACATGATCGTTACACGTCCTGTCATGAAGATGGGTTAGGATTAAATTCTAAACTGTTCTCAGCGAACTCTTAAGTCTGGTGTACACTATCAAAGTTTCTGTGATGACAGTAAGAATTTTGCATAGGTGAACTCTAAGTTTTAGAAGATTTATAAGAAATGTTTGAGGGAACTCACTTAGTGTTTAACATGAGTGATTTCCCTCAAGATTTCTTACAAATCTCCTAGTAGAATTCCCCTAATACAAATTCTTACTGTGAACACAAAAACTTTGACAACCAGACTTTATTGTCCAGTGCTACTACAGAAGGCAACCAAAACTGAAATAATATTGAAAAATTCTCTTAATTTCAAATTGTTCTCCCTAGAGGTTCCGAGATCCCTACTTGATCCTCCAGTATTACTACTTTAGAAAACGCCTAAACAGTACACTAAATTTATTTACACTGAAAAGTTCTCTCAGTTCAAATGTTCTTCCTTTAAAAACGACTTTGTATAAATATTCGAAAGGACCAACAAAAAATATTCAACCTACCAGCAGCGTCAATTCGAAATGCTTTCCCAGTATTTCCATTAGTGATTGAATACGTGACACGACCGAAGGGGCCTGAGTCCACGTCTTTAGCTATCACTGTACCAACCAAGTGACCAATTTTAGCATTTTCTGCGACGTCTGCGCGGTATGGGTCATTCTCGAATACTGGCGCATTATCGTTCACGTCAGTAACGTAAATTTGAACTGTCGCTGTAGTTTCTTTGCCACCACCATCACGTGCAACAATCGTGAAAGTGTAGCCTTGCTTTTGCTCATAGTCCAGGCTTTTTATTAAGCGAATATTTCCTAAAAACAATAAGGAGTCAATTAATTCTCGATTTAAACCTTGTTTCGTTATATATTTCAAAATTATACATAGATAGGTTTCACTAAGCACTATCAGAACTCACTAACTATCAAAGCTACAAACAGAAATACAAAACAACAACAATGATGCTCAAATTACCGTTGTTTTTATCAATGCTGAATGTTTCTTTAGCAATCTGAGGTGATTTTATACTATAAGATACTTTACCAAGCGTGCCAGCATCTTTGTCTGTTGCAGTTACCTTATAAAATATACAAAATAATTGGTTAAAACCAATTTAAATATAATAGCGTTTCACCGTAGTCAATGAACATGTGGTCTGAAAGTCTTTTCTGCATCTTTTTGTTCATATTTTTTTCAAATTTCTGCACGGTAAAAATTTTTTTGCACGATGAAGCAATCATCTAACAGTATCGCCTCGCAGATTCACTCAAACATACTATTGAAATATTAATAGGAAAAATTTCAAAAGATTTGTGCATGGCGAAGCGACTAACTCCTTTGACTCTGGTTTCACCAAGCACTATCGTCCAGTTGATGGCAAATAAATAGAATCACGAAACATAGTTTGATTTTCGTATCACCATTTCTAAAGCCGGCCACTATACTATGATACGAGATTCGTACCTGAAGAATAACGTCGGAGGTAGAAAAATCTTCCGGGATGGATCTCCTGTAGGGCAATCCTTGGAAGATTGGAGAGTTATCGTTGACGTCAGTAATTGTTATGGTAACCGTAGCTCGGGCGTTCATTGATGGCGACCCTCGGTCTGATGCTTGAACAGTTAGTTTGTAGGCAGAGCTAAAGAGAACAATTGGATCACCATTAATAATCCTGTGGTTGTCAGTCATTCCTCCTTTTGTACAGCTCATAGTATGTAAGAGACAGGCAAAACCAGGAAACTTTGCTTCCTAGCCATGTTTCCTTAAGGTGGGCAAACCAGGAAATATTGTTTCCTAGCCATGTTTCACAAAGGTGGGCAAACCAGGAAACATTGTTTCCTAGCCATGTTTCCCGGAGGTGGACAAACAAGGAAACATTGTTTCTTAGCCATGTTTCCCGAAGGCGGACAAACCAGGAGATATTGTTTCCTAGCCATGTTTCCCAAAGGTGGACAAACCAGGAAACATTGTTTCCCAGCCATTCTTCCCAAAGGTGGACAAACCCTTAAACATTGTTTCTTATAGCCATGTTTCTCCTAGAAAGATTGTTTTTGCAAATATATTTTCACCTGGTTTCACGATCCAGCGGAGACTTGACAGTGATCACTCCAGACCTTGCATCTATGATCGCAAAGGCAGTGCCAATATTACCACCAACAATCGAGTACCGGATATCCCCCCGAGGCCCTGAATCATCATCCGTTGCGTTCACAGTGATTACGCTCTGACCAACAGGCTTATCTTCAGGAATACTTTCAACATATGGCCCACCAAATTTCGGTCTATTATCATTAACATCCACAACATTCACAGTTACCATCGTTGTCCCATTTTGCGCAGGTTGTCCCCCGTCTGTTGCTACCACTTGAAACTGATAAGATTTCTTCGTCTCGTAGTCTAGCGTTGATTTTGTAGTTATTTTCCCATTTGACAGGTTTATTACGAAAGCCGAGGATTCTGAGCCTTCCATTGAATAGGTGATCTTGGCATTATTGCCTTCGTCAGCGTCTAAAGCATTGAAAAGGTAATACACAAATATCAGGGTTGTGTTATTGGTTACGCACCAAAACCACAGATGTTTGCTGTCGCCCAAAAAAACATGTCATGTTTCAGTGTTAAAACAATACGACTACATTCCTGAAAGCTGATTTACACTACCAAAGTAAGACTTTTGAAGGATTTGTAATTTTGTATGAAATTTGAGGGACTAAATCAGTTCCCTCAAATATTTCTTACAAATCCTTCAAAACTTACCCATGCAAGATATTTACCCGCCGGATACATTTAAAAAGGTTGCTAGCTGTGTAAACTACAAAATAAAGCTAAAACAAAGTAATTTTGAGAGGAACGCCAAAAAGATTTTAGGTTTTGAACACTTTGCATCGCAAATACGCGACATTGAAAAAAATGCCTCTTAATAGTTTAGCAGTAGACATACTACTTTTGAATATTTAAATGCCACGGCTTATGATTCCGACCAAACTAACAGACTAACGCAACGAATATAAAGCAAAGCTGGAGCAAC